ATTGGTGTGCTAGCTGTTTTAAGTTGAGTTAGTTGGAGATGTTCCCAAAGAGCAAAAGTCTGGGTTTGAAAATTGGAACTATGAATTAGAGCAAAAACCTGATCACAGACTTACTGAACATTCTTTAGGCAAGCAGGGTGATCTGCCAGGACATTTCCTTACTAATGATTCATACCTTATTTCTGTTTATAAAATTGTATGCATTCCTATGTCTGTCTCAGGTTTCCTATCCTGCTTTTAGGATCTTCTATTTGCCATTGAGTAATTTAGTATTAACAATTTCATTTGGTGTATTTATGTATTTGAAGATTTATTACAGTAATCTTCTTTCGAAGCAGCATATGCAATAGCTCATTTGACTAGGTTTTAGTCCCATGACTCTTACACCAGTATTAGACTCAGATCACTCATCCTGTTCTGTGAAGAGAAAAAAAAAAAACAAAACCTAAGCAAAACATGTTTATTGCAACACTTATTTTTCCTGGTTTTATAGTCTTTTATTTTGACCTGCAATACACTCTTTTTTTATCCAGACCAACTGAAATGCGATTTTGCCCTGGCTTCTTGTCAAAGGTACTGATTCTTCAAGAAAAGAAAGAAGAATAAAAGAGCAATATAGGATCGCTGGTCTCAGAAAGCTCTGGAGTAGCATTGTGTATCACTTGGTGTCACAGGTACATCGGCTAATAACCGAGGCAAACAAGGAGGTACCATTCTGTCACCACACACAGAAAGATAAACAGGACTTGTACAACACACATATATACAACATGCACGGTAAAAGCACTTCTGTTATGAATATGTATTAGTAGAGTGTTAAATTTACACAAAGAGAGTAAATTACATCCAGAACAGCTGAAGTACTTTGTGTATATCATAACTGGTTCACCACTGCTTGACACAAGTGTATTATTTAAAGGTTAAGTACTGCAATCGGTGGTTACATAATAATTAGCTGTACAGAGTGTTCCTCAATCCAGTAACAGCCCCTTGTTAACTAGAAGAACTCAACCCAGTGAACATCAAAGGAACACATACTACTCTCCTCAAGTGGGTAAATTGAGTAAGATGTGGTTTAATTCATATCAGAATTTGAGCTCATTACTTCAACTTAAGATTTTCTCCAGTTCTTTTGGGCGGTGTTTTGTCAAAACATAGGGTTATTCTGAAGCCTGTTGTGAAGATTGTGTCCCTGTACTTGGCACTGGTGAAGCCACAGCCTTAGTACTGTGTTCTGTTTATGAGCACCACAGTGTAAGACAGATATAGAGGTGCTGGCGTGGGTTCAGAGAAGGACGACGAAGCTGGTGAGGGGTCTGGTGAATGTGGCTTTTTAAGAGCAGATGAAGGAACTGGGACTGTTTAGTCTGGAGACAAGGAAGCTGAGACCTTATTGCTCTCTACAAAGGAGAACCTGAAAAGAGGTTCTAGTGAGGTGGGTGTTGGTCTCTTCTCCCAAGTAACTAGTGATAGGATGAGAGGAAGTAGGCTTAAGTTGCTCCAGGTGAGGTTTAGATTGTACATTATGGAGAATTTCTTTACTGAAAGAGTTGTGAGGCATTGGAACAGGCTGCCCAGGAAGGTGGTGGAGTCACCATTCCTGGAGGGGTTCAAAAACTGTGTAGATGTGGCACTTGGGGACATAGTTTAGTGATCATGGTTGTGTTGGGTTGATGGTTGGACTTGATGATCTTGGAGGTCTTTGCCCACCTTAATGAGTCGATGATTCTAAGTCCATGGGACTATCTCTTTACAAGAAGAGAAAACATATTTTATCTACTTTGAGACAAAAGGTGTTATGTTTATGTAAACTCTTATTCTATATCAAAATACCATGTGGCATATGATCAAAAGGCTTCTAGAACAAAATAGACATGTTACACGCTACAGGTATTCTTACATCTATTATTTTCCATTTGTTGGCCTACCTCATTAAAGTCTCTGCTATCAGAAGAAATTTAGAACACCAGGTAATATGTAGTAATATATCCTTGGCTGCAGTAAATTCTGTGTTCCAGACTTTTCTGGGGGAATGAAGCGTAACTCTGAAGTTATTTGTCTTAAAATCCCACTTTCTAATCTCTCTGCAGAGAAAAAAGCTGTAACTCAAAAACGAAAGTAAATGTTTACACTTTTCTTATTCTATCTAGGTGTACAAATCGCTAAAAGCAAGCTGTTGTACATAAAGTGTTGGCAGACCCTGTGTTACTCTTTATGTCCTATTTGCAAACAATCTGGCTCCAACACATTCCATTATCCAAACCAGTCCTGATATTGAAAGTAGCCAAGTGCTCTTAATCCTCACAGACAGCTACTTTATTTTATTCCTTCTCTTTTTATGCAAAATTACCAGTGCATCCCTTCTGAACACTTGATGTATTACATAGCAGTTCTGAAGCAAAATAAATCAGAGATGTACGTATAAAATATGTATGTGTAGCTATATTGATATATTGTGCATGCCAGGCTGTAATTTGAAATTTGTCTACTGATTTTTACAGACCAAAAAACTCCTGCCATTCCTTAGGCAGTATAAGAAAAACAAGTGTTAATGAACAACAAACACATATTTTTTTTAAAAAGGTAGCAAATAGGAAGTACCCAATCTGAGTAGCAGCTGTATAAAACAGGCACATATACAGTACACTCCCCAGATGTATCTGTGAATTAAGCTATTTTGGCCAAAACCAAGAAAAAATCTTTAAACTAGGACCACTATGTAGGAAAAGTATAGGAAGAGAAAATGTGAACACTTTGGCACCATTGTCCAGATACAGCTGTAAAATATCTAATAACCACTGCCTATCATTTCTAGCTTGGAGAAAATGCAAAGAAAACCCAAGCTGGTTTGTTACCAGTCTTTTTAGAACCCATCTAAAAAGGCCACATTTTTCTTTGAAATTTTTATGTTACAAATCCAGTTGAACTGTTTACCTGCAGGACAGAAGGCATGACCATTTTTGTTATTCATCAAAACTCTGTCTAAGCATGTATTCTGAACTGTAATCACTGTATATATTCTAATTGGACTGTATTCAATTTTCTTTTTCTGAATTTCTGAGACAGTTTTCTAGTGTGATAAATTGAAATGACAGGACAACACCAATACCAGCAATAAATTGAGAAGTTCAGACAAAAACTAATCTCCTACTGTTAAAGACATCTGAAGATAGAAAGTATGAATTCCACTCAACAATGTTATTTCAAAACATTAAAGACATCAAAAAATGTGAATAAGAATTGCACTGCAATTCCAGGAAAACCATTATGATAGCTGTAGTATATAGAAGAGCTATAGTGCAAGAGCTTTTGGATGTCCACATCTCATCATTGCTGACTGTATTCAAGATATGCCTTTAGTATTAATGTAAAGAGTTTAACTAGCTTGGAAAAAAAGTAATATATCCACTGTTAAAACAGCTTCATCACCTTTTAGTAATTTGGAAAACTCTCACTATCTGCCTTAAAATATTATTCGTTGAAAGATGAAAATCAGTAAGGTAGTACCCATGTTTAAACATAGTAGTCTCTTCGTCTTTCTGGTAGGCTAAATTTAGAGCCTCTCCAGCATGAAAGCATATATAAGCAGAAATGTGTTCTGGTTGTTACATAGGCACATCTGTATTTTGCTTGCAACAGATATTTAGGTGAATTTATGGCTCACAACATTATTTTATCAGAAGAAAATTAATTTTAGGTATTTTCCAACCAAAACGATTCTGTGATTTAGAGTAATGCATAATAAACATTTTGAAATGTGGTCCAGTTACTATTTGAAGATAATTTTTGATTTTGAAATTAGAAGCTTAACATTTTTTCAGACCTTATAGCCAAACTAAATATCCAACTGGAGTACTTTTATTAGGGCATTTTGCTACATATCCTTAAAAAACACACCACCCTTGCCATATGAACTATTTGAATCATACTTACAACTGACAGGATTTTGAAAAACATGGACGTTAAAAATGTTACTAAAAGAAACACTGACTTGTTTTCTTCTTCCTGCATCTGAAAGTGTCTTATTAAAAAGAAACAGAGATAATGTAGTAGCGCACTGGGAAGGGGAAGAAAGAATAAAAGAATTATGGAAAAATATATTTTCTCCAACCATCTGGCAGACAAAAATAACAGGCTTTCAGAAAACAGATCCGTTTAACAGGAGGGAACATGTCACATGATGTTTAAAAAAAATGCTCAACTTTGTATGAGTTATTTTGATGTGCTCCATTTCTTTTTAAAGCACATCTCATAGATTACTAGAAATTTTCTGAAAGATATTGAAGCACTTTAAATTCCCCACTCAATTTAAGGTGTCCTCAGAGTTTATATTTGTGTGACACCGTAAGTGGTAAATAGAAAAACTTTTATCAAATGACAAATCTCTTAGGTTGTCCTCACTGAGTGCAACCTATCCTCCTGTAGCCATGAAAGCTTAGCCGAAATTGTGATCAGCTATAGTAAGCTCAGGTCTCATGGAGGTTACTTCAGAATTATCTGCTCAGAGAATGCATGAAAATTAAGATTTCTGCCTTAGGCTTTAATTATTCCAGATAAGGGAAAGTTAACTCTCATTGTCTGAGTGCAACAGGGGCATCTGGTCCCAAGTCACTTTTGAGAAGAGGAAGGTCTCTTATTAGTGACAACAATTTCTCCTTCGTGTTCCCTGTCCAACAAAGCTTTTAGCAGCAAATATGATATAATGCTAATTTCTATATACTCTATGCTACTTCTATTTACAAAGTAGTTTTACATTTTATTATATTCCATTGTACAACTTTACATGATACTGTTATAATTCCAATTCATAGTTCAGCAATTCAATACATATTTAGATAACTGGCTTTCCACGTCCTGTTATACCTGTAGCTCAAAAAAAAAAAATAGTAGAAAACAAGCACAGTGGTGCAATGTCCAGGCACTTTCAATGTTGCTCAGCAAAATAAGCAAGCACCCTGTTTGAAAGCATGGCAACTTTTTGAAAAAAAAAAGACACCCTGAACCTTTGCTTATCAAGGATTATTTTTTAAGCATCCTTTGTACAGTTCCAAGTATTCCTGAGAAAGCTCTGTAAAATATGACTGATATGTTTATATTTCAGCAGTAGGTCTGAGTGAACAGTAACTTCCATCACTAGAAGTTCCGCTGATCGCACAGAAAACATGTAGGGAATCATGCATCCATGGCGAATACATTGTATCTTCATGGTAGATCTAGACAAAACAAAATAAACACATTCAGTAAAAATTTAGGCTCATTATTATAATCAAGCTGTTTAAAAAGGTATGCAAAAGAGATATCCAACCTTGTCTTCAAAGCTGTTTCGCAAAGGCAGCATAACAAAGAAATGAGAAAGAGTAATTTAGCAGTTTCTGTAGAATTCACATATACACTGTTCTGTATATTACTGTATCATTTTTAGTTACAACTACCCAGTATAGGAAATAAACAAATCTCTGAATAGCAATTTTTAATTATATCTTAGCAGTAACAGAATCAAATAGCTTTTTTTGGTAAGCACAGGGAGTACCTGGGGCTAAATACAGCAAACACTCACTACATCTGTGCCATGTAGCAAGATTTTGTACTTCATAACCTCAAGAATGGTCCTACAGCACAGGATCTAACTGGACTGGTAGAGTTGCTCTAGAGCTGACTGTGTATTTATTTTTCACCCCGTGGTTCACCAGACAATAAGTTAGTTAGCCTGAATCTACACTAGTGAAACTGTGATCACTGGCAATCATACGCAGTTTCTGGGCACCCAGTTTTCTGCCACTCTCCAAGGCTTCCTGTACCTGTTCAGCTACCGTTTATAATTAGTTTATAATTTTTTTTGTGTGTGAGAGTTTACAGTTCCCTAAGATCTGTAGACAGATTTGGCAACTCACCATGTCAGCCTGTGACCTATCAGCCCTGCCAACTCAAACTCAGTGCACTGCCTGTGTTGTTTTTGGGCACTGACAGTATTTAGAAAAGCATACGTTGTGTGCAGTGAGAACCCTACATTAATGTAATACACTTTCTATGTTTCTCTGAGTAATTTTGCAGAAAAGGAAAACCGTTTCATTAAGTTTCATTTGTTAGATATTTACGTCATTTGATGGCAATACAGAATTAAAGTCTGCAGTTATGTACATGTTGCACAGCCATAAAGAACAGTGCTCGTAAACATGATCTTTTAAGCTGCCTTTTGATCTAATACAAGGAGGAAGTAGAAAGTATATCCTTCCCAGTGAGTCCTTCACTCACTGACAGCTGCTGTAATATTTTGCTCGTTAACCAAAGACAATGAATTTGTAAATCTATCAAGATAATAGGGAGTGTACTTTAACAGTGCTTCTTTCTTCTAAGATAATCTCAACTATTGTAGTCTGGCAGTGCAGAACTGAGTGATTTGTTTTTGATTTGACTATTGCAGAATTCAGAAACCACAAAAGTTCCAGCAGCTGCATGCAAATGAAATGTCTTGGAAAGGTTTACTTGCAAACAGTTTAGAATAAGCAGGTGGCAATTCCTATGAACAAAAATCTTTGAGCAAAATTCAGTAGTGGTAAGACATGGTAGTTAATGTAGACAAAAAAAAAAAAGTGTGAAGAATTCGCAAAACAAGTTTGTACACTAAGAATATGGTTGGTCCTGAGCAGAATAGCAGGGAAATCTAACAGAAGCAAGGGAGATGCAGCAGTCATTTATTTGCAAATGGATCCACTCATATTCCTGTAAAAAATTCAGCCCCGTCATATGACTTTCCTTGAAATAATTTGCACTCTTCCATAAAAGACCCTGTTTGATTCCCATAAGCATTATTTTACTGCAAATAAACCTAATTTAGAAATAGTGACTCATTTGCTCAACTTATGGTAGAATTTGCCTATATATTTTTAGAGATTTAAAATGTTGGACTGTATATTGAGTAACTAGGAGATTCTAAAAATATTCCTCTACATTTCAAGAACTATGAATCACAATGCAGTCTGTATCATTAATTTTACATCAATACTATAAATCTACAATGAGCTTTATTTTGTCATAATGAAGGCAAAAGTAAAGAACAGAGGTATGTTTACTTCAGAAAGCCAGTTTTCATCTAATTTCAGAGCATGATACTCAGCAGAGGTGAAACTGTTCTTTCAATTTCTCACCTCTCTGATGCTTCTATTCAATATACTTTCCCAGAAAGACTCAAGAAAACATTAAAACATAGATCAGATATAAGAGCACAAATATTTTAACAGTGTATGTAAATAGCATGTTGGCATTAGGCCAAAATTAAAAGAAAACATCCGTTAATTGGGGGGTGTGTATGTAACTTAAAAAGGAACTTAAGCTGCATATAACTGAGGAAATAGAAATTTTGCCAGAGAATTTCGACCTTTGAGTTATCACAGGATTCTTATGATGTAGTAAATGTGAGGCAAAACATGGCACAGGATTTCTGATGACCACAGCAACCAGGAAACTAATGGTATGTGTCAGCAAAGACTCCACCCTGAAGCACACTGTATATCAACACCAGGCTGAGACTTTCCAACAACAGAAACTGGTTTTAGGAATCCACCAAGTGTGTTGTTTACTTCTCACATTCAGTTACTTGCCTTTTTATATTTAGTTAAATAACATGAAGAGTGATCAAGTTTTCAATTAGCTTTCAATTATTTTTCAGTCAGTTTTACAGTATTAGCTAGTTTTCAAGCACAAACAACTGCCCCTGTGGGCTCCTGACGTGCAATACATGCCTGTTCATGGATGATGTCAGAAAGCTCTTTCACCATATCCCGAAAGTTTGATTTTAGCCCCTCATGGTACTCCACTTGATCCTCTTTAATGAGTCGCTCATTGAGCTCCAAAGCAATTCCACAGGCTTGTATGAACTTCCTGGGGAGGAAAGGAATGAACTTTGGGCATTACAATAGCCCAGTCTTCCACCAAAACAAACAACCAAACAGATAGGCAAATCATATTTTTTTTCCCCCTTTTCTCCAGCGTTTGGGACAAGTCACAGAGGCATCCCTGGCACAATGGATCAGGGAATGGGGAGAGACTGCAATATAAGTACTGGGCTTTCTGCTGGAGCTCCTTCAAGCCTGGGTCCTCAATAGATGTGACACACACACCTGCAGTGCAACAGGGTGGTCTCGCACCTTCACCTGTAGGACCACAACCACCCTGCAGATCCCAGACAAGCCCAACTAACTGTACATAGGGTCACAAAACAGAAGGAGGCCACGGTCAGGCACAGGGGGGAAATCAGTCATACAGAACTTGACAGACATGGATGTATGTGATGTAGCATGTGTGCTTGAGAGGTCAAGCTGCTAAGAGCAGACACATCTACAGAAAGACATTTAGATTACGGGGAGTTGTAATATCGTTCTCTCGGTTACTGTTACTCATAGTCTCCATTTTACGCACGTATTTCTCCTTTATTTATAGACTGCAATGAAAATACAAGCATGACTGGTATTTTCCAGGATTCTGCATGAAATAGAGATTCTGATTGTCCTTCTCATTGCACAGTGGGGCTGGAAAGTAAAACTGCCTTTCCTCTGTTCTGCGTCCATATGTGGTAGGCTTGCAGGTGTTGTTCCCTTATTTGTTCCATGTTTTGTTAGGTCACTCAATATACTGAAAGAAAAATAGGATTTGCCTAAATGCTGCCTTCTGGTTGAAATGGGAATCACCAGCACCCAGGAATGAATGCAAGAGTTGGTGGGCAACTCCCAAGAGGTCCAAAAAATAGTGTGGCAAAGGCCCATAATCCTGAGGTGATGCAGGAGTTGCCTTATTATATTCTGGGAGACACCTTCAGGTGGGAGGTAAAACTGGTCCCTAAGGGACAGGAATTAGAAAAATGCCTGTACAAGCCACATAGTTCCAAAAAGCAGCAATAGAAACAAGAACTATGGTTGTCTATCGACTGAGAAGGCATTTGCTATAAAACATTTCAAGTTCATCATTACCTACTAAACAGTCCCTTTGGAAGGATTGGGAAATAATGCACAATATGAAAGACCCCCGAGCACAAGACTGTCAGACCTCTTGGTTTTTAAACATACTTTCATCACATGATAAATTTTAATACCCACACAAACCATTGAACCAGGTGTTCAAGCAAATCTCCCCATGGAGATCACAGCCCTGAGCCTGGGAACTCTTGACATATATAGTTACATTGGCTTTTTTCATATGTGCAAGCACCCACAACACCATGAGACCTAGATCTTTACAAGGCGCATCTAAGCATTTAGCATCTGCTGATATTGGAGACAGACAAAAATATAAGCAAAGCAGGTACCATGTCTAGCCAGATGGCTGGTTTTTATTACATTAGAAATCCTACCTGAACATTTCTTTTAATTCATTCACCTTCTTAGTAGGATATTTGCTGGACTGGCTGTCACTTAGGAAAGCTCTGGCGTAGGCCAAAGGACCAGCATTAACCTAGAAACAAAGAAATAAGAAATCATTTATGCTAGAACTTCTGTTGAGTTGCTAAAGGCTGTTATGAAGGCAGTAACAAGTTAAAAAAAACCCCAAAACTCAAAACCATCACAATATTAGCATATTATTTGAATACTACCAACTCTGCAATACTAATTACTAATGTCACCAGAGGCACATGAAGTTTCAAAAGTTGAGTATTCACTTTTCTATATAGGTTTCTTAAGACCAAAAGATACATGGAGATAAAAAGAGGGATTGCAGTCTGTTTCCTTATACTTTCCTCTTACTGCCCCAAGCTTACGAGCGGCATCATCTGAGTCTTAAAGTCATTTATCCAGCTTGAAAAGTCAGGCTCACAAAAAGGCTATTTGTGCCTGATTCAGCACAATCTTGAAGAGTTAAGTATATTTCAGCATTCATACATGGCCAACGCAGGTGCAATTACACTTGGACTTGACACTGTAAATACTACTGGACAAAGTGGTTACCACCATGAGACACCCCCTGATGTACCTACTGCTGCATGTGGCAGGGCAAGCTGTGCTGGAGGTTGATAACTGCAGTGCTGCAAATGAGGTAGTTAATGATTTCAGGAAAGTAAATGTTTTGCATCGTGAAAAGATAACTTACTCTGAGATGTGTATATAAATGAAATTTCGAATGGACAACAAGTCTTACCTGCACAGAAACACAGCCTTGCAATTTGAGTTGCAGCTGGATCATGTCAACATCACCAGCAGAGCAGAGTTTCTGCAGCTCTGCTGTCTTGTCTTTTATTTCATCAGTAGCGACATCAATTGGTTTTAGATTAACCTGATGTTCATAATTGACTGGTATTCTCTTCTTTACATATGGAAAGGAGTTCAAAGCTAGCAGAAAGAACAAAGGAAGTTTATAGACTGAAAAGTCATGCAGCAAAAAGGAGCACTCTTCATAGAACATATACAAGCAGGTCTTTGCCCTGAGGGTTTTATTCAGTGTGTGTGAAATCCTGAACAAGTCTGTAATTTACCAGCATGATTTATCCATTAGTAAAATTTTGCACATAGAAATATAAGGTAAATTCCCCCTCCCAATCAGAATATTGTATCACAATTCTGATGAAATAGTTGAGAGAATTTGACTCTCTTGGGATATTTTAAAATATCTAAAGTCTAAAAATAGCTGCTGATCTACACTGTCTCATGTTCAGATGCTTGTACTTACTAGTTAGAATAGTCCTTTTTTTACACTGTTCTTCCACACTGCCATGCTTTTTTCCAGATAAAGTGTAAGGAGTTTCAAATACAAATCTATTGATGTTATGATTTCTTTCAAATTCAGTCTTTCTTTCAGAGATTTCTTTGTCTTCAAAATAGGGCTTCACATAGGTGACTTGAATATGGGCATACTTAGGATCAAGGTCTTTAACATTGACCTGTGAAATAAAAGGGTTACTCACACAAAGAACGAAGTTTGGGAACTTATAATTGGTTAATTTATCTACTGGAATCCATTTTAAACTGATTTCCTGCTGTCCCAGTCTCATGGCATGCATGTGAATGACATGCCAAACACTCCCTTTGACCTCAGCTGTGATGTCTAGCCCATCTGCTAGCAGACACACAAGACAGGGAGGAGTGGCACAGAAATACCTCATCTGGCCCCAAACAAGCTGCAATTGGAAGAGCGAGCCATACCACCTTATCCACTAAAGCAGCACATGCCTAAACTACTTTAGTCCTTCTAACATGACCATATTGCTACCAGGCCATGAGCTAGTGCTCATACAGTACTGTGCTGTGGGAAGCAAAGCTGCAGGCTTGCACAAAGCAAACTTTGGGATTGCCAGCATTGTCTTTGGTAACCCAGACATATCCATGATTGCAACCTGAGGGTGTGAACAGCCCTTGCAGAGGCAGTCAAAACTAAAAAGAAAGGAGCTATGGCTGCAAAGCCACAAAAGATTTTCTTTTAGACTTGCAGTGTCAAAGCAACAAGAAATGCCTCTTCCAATCATCTGCTCCTCTGTACTGGCTCCTAACACCTCCCAACAACAGGGCTCAGTGAGATGTGGATTGCAATTTCTCATTCATTATTCCCAATTCCTTTATTTCCACCTGGGAGCCAGCTCAACAGCAAAGCTTGTCAAGCTGTGCAACATGTCCACACAGGAGCATGAGGATGCAAGGGATAGTTGGAAGCAAGGTGCTTGTAAGAGGGTTGAAGAGAGGGCTCACTCCTCCCTTCCTACTGGCAGAAGGAAGGGATGCTCTGTTAGCTCCCATCTTCAGATCCACAGAGCAAAGCTCATCCTCCTGTGCTCCATTTGCACAGCACTTACAGCAGTGCAGTCCCAAGCCCTGACCAATATTAGAATACCATTGATATTTTTGTCCTACTCATCAGTGCACTCACTAGTATGTGGCCCTTATGTTCACTGCTAATAGTGTTTCATTAGCTTTTTCATTCAATGTAACTCTACCTTGTTAGAATCCTGGATAATCTTTACAGTCTCTGATCCAAATTTTTCTCCATAAAGTTTAAGAAGTCTGAAGGAGATCTCCGAGAGGCCTGTCAGCTTGGGTTCCTTATAGATGTATTCCTTCCCATCTTCTTCTTCAAAGAATGTCTAGCATTAATCACAAACATGTAGTGAGGATTAGCCAGGTTTCTTCACTTGGAAGACTTTATTTTAGATTTGCTACTTTGAAAGGAAGTTTCTACTATCATTTCAGAAAGTCAAAAAGGTTTAGAAGGCTATGGCTTGCATAAAGTGTCACTGAACATGGCCTGTTTAATTTTGTAAAAAAAAAATAACATTCCTCAACCAACACAAAAATTTCATTGCTGAACACAAAGGCTTGAGTAAGACCAGGGAGAAATCTAAAAGTGGGTTTGACCAGCAGTTGGCTTTCTGGAAGGTTGGAAGGAGGTGAGCAGAAGAAAAACCACAAAAACAAGGCACAAAGAAGAAGCAGAAAGACGTAAGTTGAGGAAGTGCTGATAACAGAGCCACATAAACAGTATGAAGAGAAAGATTTTTTGTAGGCTAAAAGGGACTTCAAGTAATAAATAAAGAAATGGGTTTCCTCTGCTTTGATTCCTCTTGTATACAGGGAAGTGGAACCTAGTGTATTTGCTGTAAATAGAGACAAAACTACATTAAAGTTCGTGCCTGCATCACCAGTCCTCCCTGTAATGGGAACAGCATGAAAGCCTCATGCTTTGGTGAGCTGTTCCACTGAGAAGTTGTGACTGTTATAACTATCTCTCTGTAGTCTCTCCTGTATCTCATGTTTTTTATAAAAAAAAAAAAGAAAGAAAAATAGTAAAGCTTTAAAGTGCAAAACTGGATCAAGTATTAGTTGCCAGGATAATATATTACATAGCTTAATTTTAGGGGCTGATCCTATTATTTCTACAGCTTCTAGAAAACTAGGCTAGCAGTTGTTTCCTTTTATCAACTGCTAACCTTATTTTTTACATATCCAAAGCTGAACATAAAAATAAAATGTATGTTTGCTGCAGCAAAGGTCAGTGCTCTGATATGTCATGCATGTAATGACAGTAGTGTTCAAAGTACAAACTCAAGATGATTTCAGGGGTATTCATCATCTCCTCTGAAGAAGGAACACGGAAAAGCAGGGCTAATATAATTAACACATCATTTTCTAAAGAGGGATCCTGCACTTTCCTCATGGTTATGGGTCCACAAGAAGAAGCAGATAGTTCAGAGACATCAGGGAGATGAGGGCTAACACACTTTATGAGATTTTAACTGCCATAGCTGGAGAAAAAAAAAAAAAAGAAAAAAAAAAGAAAAACACAGCTACTTTCAGGCTCAGAAGACCGCAACACATATGATAAAGATCATGTTCCTTCTTGAGACTCTGTGCCCTAGACCTTGTCCATTTTTCCAGTTACCTTAGCTAACACAAAATACTATCTCTACAAGTATGTAACCAACAGTAATACATATTTTGCCTCCAGCTTCTCCCATAATCTACTAATTTACTCTACTAATATCTAGAAGGGAGCAGCAATTGTCTGCAGAAGAAAATGTCTGTTAATACTACTGTTTATATACACTATGATTATATACTGTTACTCCTATACACACTAAATTGCTCATGTGTAACTTATAATAACTATAATTACAAAAAAAACCCTGGTGTTTTCTGAACCCACTAAGCCATTTCCTAGCTGCTCAGTTGTTTAATGAAAAGCCCATCAGAATCATAAAGTTTATGTTAAATCAAGTGCTCCTGAAGAGAGATACAAACCCTCACCTCAAGGGCGCAATACGAACAAGCTCACACAGAGGCACCAGTGGCTGCATCAGAAGAGCCAGCAGGCTTTTCAGCTTCAGGTCTCACAGAGCAGCAGGTTTAGAGGCCAGGATGCCTGGTGAGAGGTAGCTGACAAGCTAGTGTATGTACTTACTTGTCCATAAAAGGCCACTCTGAAAAAGGTTCCAAGAAGCCTCTTCCTTGTGTGCATTACTTCCAATATCTTAGCATATGCTCCATGAAGTGTTCTGTACAGCTGAGTAAGTTTCTGGAAATCAAATCTTGATATCATTAAAGCAGAATTTTGCAAGCAGGAAATTCTAGCTAACACTGGAAGCTACTAGGATATCTGAACAGAATCCTTTGGAGAATTCAAACTTGAATTCTAGAGAATTCAAGAAAGAATCTCCTTTTCTAGAGAGGTTGAACTCTGTGCATCTACATGACGGACCTTTACACTCAGCTTCTCTACCCTGGCAGCAATGTCTTGGCACATCTCTGCAGCCCAGATGGGTTTCCCTCTGCGCTGCCAGTTGGCCTTTGTCCACCGATCTAGCCATCCCCACAGAGCACTGGCCACCATCCATAAATTAGTGTAGAGGTAAAGCCTTGGCCACTTTCCTCATTCAGCAATATCCAAAGCCAGCTGAACAGCTTTAAGCTCTGCAACCTGACTTGATCCACCTTGTCCTTCAGCCACTTCTGCAGCTCGCCATGTGGGGCTCCATACAGCTGCTTTCCACTTCTGCTTTGTCCCTACACTGTGACAGGAACCGTCAGTGAAGAGAGCATATTGTCTTTCATCTTTTAGTAGCTGGTTATACCGTGAGGCCTCCTCAGCACGTGTCACCTGCTCCTCTTCTTCTTCTTCAGAGGATAGTCCAAAACTCTCACCTTTGGGCCAGTTTGTGATGACTTCCAAAATCCCAGGGCAATTAGGATTTCCTATCCGGCCCACTGTGTGATTAGAGCAATCCATTTACTCCATGTGGCATTGGTGGCATGATGTGTAGAAGGAACTTTTCCTTTGAACATCCAGCCCAGTACTGGTAGTCGAGGTGCCAGGAGGAGCTGTGCTTTGGTGCCAACTACATCTGAGGCAACTTGAACTCCTTCATGAGCGGCCAGGATCTCTTTCTCAGTTGGGGTATAGCTGGCCTCAGATCCTCTGTATCCCTGACTCCAGAATCCCAGTGGTCGCCCTCAGGTCTCCCCAGGTCCATTCTCCCTGGCTGCAGTGTAGAGAACGTTTTTCACATCCTGTCCTGTCCTGACTGGTCCCAGGGCTACTGCACAGGCAATCTCTTGTTTCATTTGTTCAAAGGCTTGTTGTTGTTCAGGGCCCCACAGGAAGTCATTTTGCTTCCATGTCACAGGGTAGAGAGGACTTACAATCTGACTGTACTCAGGGATATGCATCCTCCAAAAGCCCACTGTGCCTAGGAAAGCTTGTGTCTCCTTCTTGTGAGTTGGTGGGGACATGGCTGCTATTTTGTTAATTACCTCTGTTGGAATCTGGTGATGTCCGTCTTGCCACTTTACTCCTAGGAACTGGATTTCCTGAGCAGGTCCCTCGACCGTACTTTGTTTAATGGCAAAACCAGCTTTCAGAAGGATCTGGATTACCTTCTCTCCTTTCTTGAAAACGTCTCCTGCAGTTTTCCCCCACACAATGATGTCGTCAATATACTGTAAGTGCTCTGGAGCCTCACCCTTTTCCAGTGCAGTCTGGATCAGTCCATGACAAATGATGGGACTGTGTTTCCACCCCTGGGGCAGTCGATTCCAAGTGTACTGCACGCCCCTCCAGCTGAAAGCGAATTGTGGCCTGCACTAAAGGAATAGAGAAAAAAGCGGTGGCAATATCAATGGTGGCATACCACTTGGCTGCCTTGGACTCCAGCTCATACTGAAGCTCCAGCATGTCTGTCACAGCAGCACTCAGGTGTGGTGTGATTTCATTCAGGCCACAGTAATCCACCGTCAGTCGCCACTCTCTGCTGGACTTACGCACTGGTCATATAGGGCTACTAAAGTGTGAAGGAGTCTTGCTGACCACCCTCTGGCTCTCCACTTCCCACACTGTTTTATGGATGGGCATCACGGAGTCTCGGTCAGTGTGATATTGCCAATGGTGCACTCTTACTGTGGCCATCGGTACCAATTGTTCGTCCACTCTCGGCAGTCCTACAGCAGAAGGGTCCTCTGAGAGGCCAGGCAAGGTGTTCAACTGTAATTTCTTCTGTGCCTACAGTAGCTACCCCAAAAGCCCAATAATGTCCTTTAGGGTCTTTGAAATACCCATTCGTAAGGTAATCTATGCCAAGGACACACAGGGCCTCCAGACCAGTCACAATGGGGTGTCTATGCAAGTCCTTCCCAGTCAGGCTCACTTCAGCTTCCAGTACAGTCAGCTGTTGGGCTCCCCCTGTCACCCCAGAAATGGAGATGGATTCTGGCTCTACATATCTCGACAGCATCAGAGTACATTGTGTGCCAGCGCCAACTAAAGCCTTATATCTTTGTGGGTCTGATGTGCCAGGGCACCGGATCCACACAATCCAGTTGATCTGATTGTCCCTCTCCTCTACCTGGCTAGAGGCAGGGCACCCCTAATTCTGGTCATGATACTCATCGCTCCCTTCCTGTAAATATGACCTAGAGGTCCCTTCAAGAGGATTGGGCATAATATCATCACTCCTATACTGTCTGGAGTCTTGCCCATGAGAGGCTGGAGCAGCATTTATCCTTGAAGCGTTCCTTGTGGTAGTCGTTCCCCTTTTCAACTCTTGTACTCATGCTGCTAAGGAAGAGGTGGGTTTTACATCCCACTTCCTCATATTTTCCCCATGCTCATGGAGGTAAAACCACAGATTGCCTCGTGGAGTGTACCCTCTCTCCTTAGCTGGGGGACGCCTGCTCCTGGTAGCAGAGACTCTTGTCTGTCCTGGTGAGATATGGAAGATTCCCTCTTTAAGTTCCTCTCTTAGCTTCTGGTGGCCCTCTTCAATTTTCTCCTCCAGGCTTCGGACATGTTCAGCCAGTTTTGTTTTCACAGATGAGACACGGGCTCGTAATGGAGCGATGACAGTGTCCTCATAGATCCTGAGTTTGCTGACCAATGCACCCACCTTATCCTCTCCCTCCCTCCATTGCAATGTCATCGCCAGAGGCTGAGAGTTTCCTGTTTCTTTCCAATCCCCTGATCAATGACCACGTCTCGAGACAGGGATCCTAGTTGCCTTGCTTCACTCCCATCCAGAATTGTATCATTAGCTGCAGCGTCCCAGATCTGGAGCAGCCAGGTCAGAATGGACTCGTTTGCCTGTCGTGTGAACTCTGTCCGGAGCTGACGCAGCTCGCCCAGGGATAGGGACTGAGTGATGATTTACGGCTGTTTCTTCTGACGGGGATGAAGGTCCTGCCCCTTCCTCATCTTCTACTATGCGAACTAATTTATTCTTGGTTTTCTTTTCTGGACAGGGGCGACTGCTACTGGCCTGGGTTCTCCTGGCTCTGTAGTGGTTTGTGTGGACATGGTGCTGGCCAATTCATTTTCTTCCCTCTCAGGCTCAGTTGTGGTTTGTGTGGACAAGGTGCCTGTCAATTTACTTCTTCTCTCCTCATGTTCAGCTCTGGTTTGTGTGGACACGGTGCTGGTTGATCTGTTTCCTCTCTCCTCCTCCTGAAGGTGCTGTACCAGACC